TGAATATATATGCATATATATATAAATTGAATTTTGGGAAACACTAACAGTGCTGCCAACTTTGGAAAACGTCATCCCAATTTACTGTGTTGTGTTGGCATTGTACAGAAATGGACAGCCATATTGGTCTAGAGATGTTAATTTATTTTTATTTTTATTTTTTTTCCATGTGTGCAGGGGTAACACACTGTATTGAATGTGTAAGGTCATATCTATGTGGGTTTGATTACAGAAACTAATAAAGTATTCTCTAAATAATGAAAAAAAGAAAAAGATAAGACTATAAGAGCAAGAAGCAATTTAAAAATGTTCAGGGACCATTTTCATCCCCAGAATTAAGGATTATTTTAATGTTACATCGTTGTCTTTACTCTTTTACTTTCCTTTTTAGTTTTATTTTAGGATTCCCTATGTTTAATGTTCATACAGAGATTTCTTTAACTGAAATACCGAACAGTTTCTTTGGTGTGAAAAACTATAATAGTACACAGGATCCAAATGAGATAATTAATAATGCGAAATAGGAAGTAAAGGGCTAAAGGTATAGGGAAAGTGGGAAGGGTAGGGGTAAGGTAATAAGGGAGAGGAAAATAATATGAGAAACTGAAAAAATGGAAATAAATTATTTGTAAATGGCGAGGGGAAGAGGGGGTGAAGGGAAGGCAGGAACAAGGGGAAAAATAAGAATCAAGACCTATTATGTAAAGTTACAGAATCCCAATGATGAATGTAACTGTATTGTATACCTAGATTGTACCAATAAATTCAATTTAAAAAAATGTCTTAGTCACCTTGTCATCACTTGGAAGAAATCACAGACAACTAAAATTCAGACCATGATAGTGGACTTTTGAAACCAGTTTTATCCCAGATTTCTGGTTCCATGGCAGAAACATGAGGGCAAAGGCGCATGGCAGAAAGAAAGGAGCTCAAGCCATGGCATCTGGGAAGCTGAGGGAGAAGCAGTAATAACATAAGCCACCCAGGAAAGCAAAAAGCAGAAGTGTGAGGCAGGTTCCCGGCTGCTTCTCTTGACATCCCATCTGCTGCATGTGCCTGTCAAATGAGCTGGCTAAGAAAGTAACTGAAAGATTTTGGTGTCATCCTGAGGCTTCGTGTAGCTGGAATGACAAATCATCTCCTCCAGATCCATGGAACTTTACAGGGACTTCTGACAGCACATGGAATTTTAAGGCCCTGCCCTGGTTTCCACTGGTTCTAGATATTTCGAGTACGTGTGTGTGGTTGTGTGTGTGTGTGTGTGTGTGTGTGTGTGTGCAAGAGAGAGAGAGTGATGGTATATTGTAGCTACAATATTTGTGTTAGTACATTTTTTTCACGATTTCAAATAAGTTGGACACTTATAAAGGATACATTAAGCAGGTTCCAAAATCTTGGTGTAAAGTCCTTAAGTTATTCCTATTGAATAATTTATCAAGCAATTCATTGGTGATGCTCAATGATATTATATTTCCCCAGTGATAACACTGGTTCTAGTGTACATAAGTACTAAGTATATGACTCCCACTATAAAAGATGGTTACTCTCTCCTAGAGAGTAGAAAGAAGGATGGAGAGTAGGTCATCCAAAATCAGATCCTGCAACGGGTATAGAAAACATGAAAACAAATATTCAGGTAAGTATTCATGATGTACAAGGACTGCCAGCAAGTGCCACACAGCACCAGCCTATTGGGCCTAATTCCTACTGTTGTTCCTCCTTACTTCGAACCAGAGCAGCAGAATTCTGGAAAAGTGGCTGCTGAATTGAGAAAAAGCACAATACAAAAAATCTACCTATGAAGCTTTCATTTAGTAAGGAAATCATTAACTTATGATATACAGTGCGATAAGAACATAAACATTAATTTAAGGACTGTCTGCTATACAGTTTTACCACTGTGTCCAAACAAGGTTAGAGACCTCTGCTGAAATGCCTGTGTGAAGTGATACATGGGAGATATTGGGCCTCACTGAGCAGCCACACATTGGAATTTTTTGTTTAGACCATGTACAGAGCCTGTTCTTTTTTTTTTCCTTTTTATTGAGTTTATTGGTACACTCTAGGTATACAGTACAGTTACATTCATTACAGTGTACATAAGAAGTACTGAGTGTGTGAATTCAAATATCCAAAATATGGAAATGATATAGTTTTGATTTTATCTTTCTTAGTTAATGAGGTGCTTTCAACTGTTTCAAATATCTTTTTTTAAAAATCAAATTTCCACTACTACCAGTTCAGAATTAAGGTGAAATTCCTGAATAATGTTATGTTTACCACAGATAAAGTAATGCCCCTTTAAACAGAGCATTCTAACCACATACAGAGCCTGTTTTAATGCAGGTCCTGATCTGTATGAGTCAACCAGAATGCAGTCTGGTAATTTAAGCTGCAGTATAAATGACACTGCTGAATTCTGGACTTATTCTGAAAAGCAGTCATTGGCCTATTTACAAAAAGGAAAATGTCTTCTGTCATCATAAATTTAGACTAAGTTTATCCATTTGATCATTAAAAGAGTAGTGTTGTGCATTTCTGTAACTTCCCACTTTATGTTTTTAGCTGAGCCACCAGACTTGCTGATAGAATTGAAAGCACATCCCCCATATTGTGCTCCATCCTGTATCTAGGAGCAATATGAAAGTTTGAGTGGTAGTGAAAGTACTGGGTCACTGTTTCCTTACAAATTCACCAGAAGTTGGGGAGAGTTGTTTCTCAGAATCCTTTTTGTTAAATGGTTTCCTGTAAATCATGGTGCCTCATTTTATGAACTTAATTTCTTTTACTATTTTGGGGATGATGGCTGCTTTTGTGTTATTATAGGGAAAATGGCCATGGTCTTATTTGTCACCCAGTGGAGAGTTTGGATAGGGAAGGAACAGATGTCAAAAATGGTTGTGTGCAAAATGAAACCTTTATAAACAGAACAGTTTGGGAACAGAGGTGTTACTATAATTCCTAAGAGGGCCGCTGTGATCCAGAACTGCTCAACTGGGAATCCCCTCAGGATGTGAGAAATCACAAAATGATGATGTCAGTTCCCACCATCAGCCAAAAGCAGGTTCTTGGAAGGAGGTGGTGGCTGCAGAATCACCCGGATGAAGGGTTTCAGGCTGATGTGAGGACGAGAGTCCAAATCTGGGCTTCCAAGTCTGAGAACCAGGGGTTTAGGGGTCTGTACTTTCATTAACAGATGCATTCCGTCCTCTGAGGAAAGACCACAGAATTTCCTGTTTATAGAACAAAATTTTACGATGGCAAGACACACTTAGCCAGTTAAAGACAAGTGTGTAGGCACCAGTTCCCTCTATTAAAACACATTGTACTTAGAAATTCCATTCTAACTTGACTTTTGCTGTACGAAAAGCCCATTAATATGTCAGAACATTGTCATGTGTGTGCAATGTGGTCTGAGCAATTAGAAAGAGAGTTATGGTATTCCTTCAAAGAATGGCTTCATCTCAGAAATGCTCTCTGCAGCTGAAGGCATCAGAAGGAGCAGCTGGGGCAGCCCAGGCTCACACTTCTGCTTCCCAGGTTGGTTTATGTCATGGCTTGTATCACTGTGGGAGGTGTACTATCATACTGCTGACAGTAATAAGTTCCAACATCTTCAGCCTCCACACTGCTGATGGTGAGAGTGAAATCTGTCCCAGATCCACTGCCACTGAACCTCTGTGGGATCCCAGATGCCAAACTGCTTGCATAATAGATCAGGAGTTTGGGAGCTTTCCCTGGTTTCTGTTGATACCAGGCTAAATCACTACCTATGCTCTGACTGGCATTGCACCTGATGCTGACAGTGTCTCCTATGGATGCAGAATGAAACGATGGAGACTGGGTCACCTGGATGTCACATTGGGAACCTGACATGGGAAACATAAAAACAGAAATCTGTCAGATTAGTCAGGTCAGAAGGTTTCCCTGAAGAGTCAGCATAGACCACCAATGTGCAACACAGCACTGTCCTACTTTACCTGGGAGCCAGAGCAGCAGGAGCCCCAGGAGCTGAGCGGGGGCCCTCATGTCCATGCTGTGTCCTGCTTGGGGCTGACTCCTCCACAGCCTGTGAGCAGCCTATTAAAGTCTGTGCTCTGGGGACATGCAAATCAGCAGGAGCTGGTCAGGGTGAGGCCCAGCTGCAGAGCTGTCTCATCTCAGTAACTCAGTACTGGCGCAAGTCCCCAGGTGGCCCAGGTCAGAGCAGGAGAGCCCAGAATTTACTTACTTAAAATGTGTTACTTCTGAGGGAAACTTCATTACAGAGAGCATGTGGAGAAAACTGTCATCACACAAAATAAATATAGGATTAGCAAGGTAAATAATTTCATAGATATAACAAGACTATGCAGAATACCTTGTTTAGAAATAATACAAAACAAGTATGGCAACTTAGGCTTCAACTTACTAGAAAGTGTTTCTGTTAGAGCCAAGAAAATATTTCATGCCCTATTGAAAATATTTCTATGGCTACAAAATTATTTTTTAAATAAATAGAGTGCTCCTCAGGACCAATTTAGATGTATGCAAAATAATTTTTGATGGGCTTAGGCCATTCTTACTCTCTGTTTAGTATGAACCAATCTATAACACATGCATAGGAATGATGAATTGTTCCTTCAGTGGGTGTTTCCCTCAGAGACACAACATTATTCAAAGCTACAGCTCAGTGCTTTTCTTCAGGACTAAAAGGATTCACATTATCATTTCCTTGGGGCTCCCTCTACCATGTTCCCACTACTTTTCCTCCATCTATTAATATTTCTCAAAGGTAATCATCATGCAAGGCTGAGCAGTGCTGTCAAAACTGGTAACCACTCCAAAACCTCTCTTTCCCCCTCCAGTTAAATGAGCCCCAATCTGTCAAGCATGACTTGTGCTTTAGTCCACGTGCTGCTCCAGTCTTTCCACAAACCACCCCAAGAGTGTGCCTGCTGGGACATTTCCCAGAGGTGCAACCACTGCCAACTGTCACCAACACCATCCCAATACAGATCCACTCCATTGGTAACACTGGTGAGTGTTAAGCATACCCAATACCTGCCTACACCCTCACCTGGAACCAAAAGCAGCAGCATCCACAGCAGGGGAGCCTTGGCCCCCATCTCTGAGAGCTGACACGCAAACCAGTCTTCATAGGACCTTGAAGCTGCCTTTAAAGATGCTTAGCAGAGGCCAGACCAGTGGTGAAGGTGGAAAAATGTGAATCAGCTGGGAGAAGCCTTGTTCTCAAATTGAACACCTGCTCTCTTCTTTCAGGAGTTAAGGTTAGAAAAAAAATCCCTCCAAGTGTTATTCATGTATATCACAAGTGAAGCTGTGACCTATTCCAAGGAATCCTATCCTCTTGGTTTGTCATAGCTGCCAAGTGAGGGAACACACGGTGCCTTCCATGCCATGAGGATATAGAAATTGTTTCCACCTCAAAAATTTAAAATGATATCAACTCAAATAAAAATACAAGGGTTAATTGGAAATCAAAATGTCTCTAAATGAAGAAAATAAGGAAACATATATCTCCAGGAATCTCCCTGACAGTATTCACATTCACATTATTTTTGCCACATTCTGCCATTGTTCTAGAAGTAACCTTTTGTGCATTTATGACATAGGACCAAAAATTCGGTGAATTTGCTGCACATTTCCATCTAATCAGAAAGCAAGTTCAAGAAACCATTATGATGTGCCCTGATTCACCATTTCATAAGATCTGCTACTTTGTGGCTTCTGCCTCTTCGGCAAGCCCAAAATGACCATGAGGAGTAAACCTTATGACATCACTCAGGACACTGAGGCAGCCCCAAAAACAGAAACAAAGATTTCATGGGAAGAACTTATAAAAACGCTGCATAAAGAGGCAAGTGTTTGAAGCATGGGGAGTGGTTTCAGGGATGTTAATGGCAGAGCATATATGCTGTAATATTCATTTTCTTCAATTTATTCTAACACTATTTTTTATATCAGATCATATCCATTTCAGCTTGTGATCACGGTGAGAAAGAGAAAGTAGTAGTTTTATTTTAAAAAGAAGGCAAAGAAAAATGGTGGCCTACATCTGATTGGACTGATGTTTGCCTCTCTGAGGAAATGACCTTTAAATGATTCTATAGACACCATCACAAGCTGTACTATGAAGACATGAAGATGGAACTGAGATAAAAGTTCAGTGACCATACCAATGAATGACCTTACCTCAGTGTCCATCTGCTTGGTACAAAAATCAACGTAGAATCCACCGATCCTCCTACATGTGAGAAGTTATTCCTTGGACTCTTTTTTGTTAAATTAATTTCATAGCTGCATTCAACATGTACCATGTAATGACATACATCATTGGAAATTTAGACCTTTACATAATCCATCTTGGTCCTTATTTTTCCCTATTCCCCTGTCCTCCCTTCATCCCCTCTACTGCTTCCTATCCACAATGACTTTGTTTCCATTTTTTCCTTTCTCAGGTTAATTCCATTTCCTTCTTTACTTTCCTGTACCTTCCCATTTCCCAGTCCCCTTTGCACCTTTTCTTCCAATTTCACATCATCTATTATACTTTTTAGTCCTTATTTACACTTTCAGTTTCTCACACTAGAGAAACTATCCAGTATTTACATATAAGCATCTATTTATTTCCCTTAACAGTATTGCCTCAATGTACATCCATTTAGCCATAAAAGTCTGTACTTTTTCATTCTTAATGGCTTAGTAGTACTCCATTATATTAAAAAAAAAAACACATTTTCCTTATCCAGTCTCCTGCTAATGAGCAATTGAGCTGCTTCCAAAGTTTTACTTATTACAAATTGTGCTGCTATGAACATGGGTGCGCTTATATCGCTGTGGTATCATTCTCTTAGTTCTTTGGGGAAGATACATAGCAGGGGGACCTTAGGGTCAAGTGGCGCCTCTAATCCTAGTTCTCTGAGGAATCTCCATACTGATTTCCACAGTGGTTGCACCAGTCAACACTCCCACCAAGAGTGGAGCAGGGTTCCTCTTTCCCGCCATCCCCGCCAGCATTTGTCATTGTTAGATTTCATGAGAGCAGCCATTTTTTCTGGGGTGAGGTGGAATCTCAGTGTTGTTTTCATTTGCATCCGTGGAATGATCAGTAATGTTGAACAATTTTTCTTGTGTTTATTTGCTGTTTGTACTTCTTTGTCTGAGAAATGTCTGTTCATTTCAGATGCCCATTTTTTTATTAGGTCTTTAAATTTGAGAGATCTGATTTTGTTTAACTTCTTTATATACTCTAGTTAGTAGACCTTTGTCTGAGGAGAGCTGATAAAAAGTTTTCCCACATTGTGGGTTGTCTTTTCACACCATTGGTTCTTTCTCTTTCTGTGCAGAAGCCGTTCCATAAGAAGACATCCCACTTGTTGAGGTTTTATTTATAGAATTATTTCATATACTGATGTCTTCAAGAGTTCTACCTCAATGCTCTTCTAGCCGGTTTAGTGTTTCTGATTTTATATTTAAATTTTTAATCCATTTCAATTTGAGTTTAGTGCATGGTGAGAGATATAGGTCTAGTTTTAATCTTTGGCAAGTTGAAACCCAGTTTTTCCAGCACCATTTTTTAAAAAGGTTTTAATAAAAATTAATTAATTAATTAATTAAAAATAAAAAGGTTATGTTTCCTCCAGGAGGGTCTTTGGATCCTTTGTCGAAGATGAGGTGGCTGAGTGTGTCTGGACTTTTTTTGCACCTCCTAATCTGTTCCACTGGTCCTTGGGTCCCTGGACTCGTACTCATACCAAAGAACATTCAGCCCTCAACTTTTAGTTCATTTATTGTCTTTTCATTGGAGACTAAGATGAAGGAAACTATATTCTTCTACAACAGAAGTGGTGTCCTAATGATTGTACCAATTGTTTTATACTAAAGTTAGAGTGATTCTAGACCATCACATGAATGGCATGTTCCAATTTTAAAACTGTTTTGGAGGTTGAGACTTCAAGGAGCTCTACATTTTTGCTAAACTTTTAAAACATATGGAGGTTTGCTACTTAAAATACTCATGGAAAAATACTTATATGGTTATTATAGACTTTTTTCAAGTGTTGTGTACAGCCCAATGTGGCAGAGCAGGTGAAGGCAGCAGATACAACCTTACCATAATCTAGAATTAAGGCAACTAAAGAATAGCTACTCAGGAAGAAGAGGGAGAATGCGAGCTCCAGGAAGCAGAAAAGATAAAAATCCCACAGATGACATAGACCAAAAAAATAAAGGAATCACAAAGTCAGCTGTCAGTGGAGAGAGGAGCCAGTGAACACTGACCCTGGGGAGGGCACACAGTTCCAGGGATGAAAGATGTCTGGGCCCTGCTTGCCAGGAGCAGACTGGGATTTTGATGTGCTGTGAGCCTGCTGTGTGGATTTACTCTAAATGAACTTTGTCCCAATAGAAACTCTCACTTTGTATTCTTTACTTCTCCACAGTGTTGTAGGGTGAGAAGGTGCCACAATTACTGTCTCCAATCTTCTTTTCATGTCAACTGTTTCAAACAAACATATTTATTATTATTCAGGATTGAGAGGAGATCGGGGTGATAATGTGGACTCTACTCTTCCTATCACCCCTGCACAGCCAACCTTTACCTCAGGAAGAGATCATTTGTGTGCTTTTATTGCTGTGCGTGGTTTATGTGGAAGCGGTGCATCATGCAGGGTTCTTGGTTTACACTGATCCACAGAATAATAAAAACTCTGGCCATTCCTCAAGTGATATCCCAATCAAACCAACAAGCATTCACATACTTCAAAATGTGAGCTGTACTCATCATGCACCTAGGGATGAATTGAGGCAGTTGATAATTTAGGAAAGACCTTGCAGTCCAACTGTGTGTTAAAACTCTCTGTGTCTTTCTCTTCTGAAATTGCATTAGGAGCCAACTTGTATACACAGGACATTCTTTGACCTGACATTAACACTCTTATTTATAACACCTGCAAAGACATGTTTCCCACATTCACAGGCCCCAACAAACAATACTTGAGAGTGTGATAATCATCACTGTACCAACTCAGCCATTAAAGTAC